GCGCCCCGCGCGCCGGCCGCTGTACCGCCGCCGGGCGCTTCGGGTTGGCCGCTTCTCGGCTTCGGAACACAGGCTTTGCTGCCTACGGAGATGTTTTCCCATGGGTCGTGTTCGTAGATCCAACAAGGTGGGATGTTGGCGTAGCCCTTGGCAGAGCCGTCCATCTACCCGCGTGATGTTCCACTTCACTAAATTTGTTTCCTTTCCGGTTGGTTTTCGGAGTTGTTAAGCATCGTGTAAGCAAATGTTTAAAACAACTTGCGGGAATTTCCTCAGTGTGTCTTGTAACGCTGGTGCTCTGGTGCGCAAGGGTCACAAAAGACTCGTACTCATTCGCCTTATTTCTCTGACTTCAGCCTAACAGAGGGACGAAAAGGCCTCGCGATGAGGAGGAAGAAGAAATCAAAGCGCGTCGGAAACAAGCTGGTGCACGAGAGCACAGCCGTCACCGGGAAGAGGAGTCTGTGGCGCTGGAAGAAACCGATGATGAGAAGAAGAAACTTCTTCAGATAATTGAGAGGGATGGAGAAGAGGAAGAGGAGGAAGTAAATCACTGGTGTCCTGTGGGAGAGGGGAGGCAGTGGGGAACAAGGAAACACTAAATCACTTCTCTGGGCTTTCCGTTTCTTACTGTGTTGGTGCTGACACTAACTGGTGATTTTCACGTGCCTCGTACAGCTTAAGGTTGTGGTTTTACTTTCCTGCCCTGCGGGGTGTTCATTAATTTCAAACAGGGCTTCTCAAAGATATCCTCCGGAGGTTTGGGGGGCCCAAAAGGGAGGGGGAAGGGAAAGCTTTCAAATCTAATCTCTGTTTTAAGCTGGGAATACCCAAATCACCTGCTAAGATATGTTTTTAGGAACTAGTTTCTGTATTCTCACCAGTTTCCTAACTCTATTGTTCTCGAAGCACCCCCAGCCGTGCAGCCTCTCCCGCTCTCCCCCTTTGTAGCTGTGCAGCAGCAGCAGCAAATAAACAAACATTCTTCTCCACAAGAAAGGTCTTGGGTCAGAGGAGGGGGGTAGCAGCTGTCAAGGGTAAATGATTTCAAGCCTTGGAGACAGAAATCCAATGCAGCATTGGCCTTTCTGCCAAGGGCCAGGGAAAAGATCGCTTTATAAATGTGACGCATGGGTTGGTATAAATCTAGAAGGTGCTTGCTTCCTGCTGCCTCTGTCCTGTTTGATGAAACCCAGGAGATACTCACCACTGCGGAGTCGTGTGGGTTTGTAAAGTGTCCTTGTCCTTTGTGTACAGCATCGCCAGCCTTCGTCTCTGGAAATCTCCCCGTTGTTTTGATGCTGAGCTATTGCCCGTAGAGTCGTTGCTGATAGTGGGGAAGGATCACGCCGGATTTCTGCGGCATTTGAGCGCCAGTGAGGGTGGACGGACGTAGCCAAAAGTCCTCTTGACTGGCTGGAGTCCTGTGGGCTCCTGCGCTGCACCAGTCCCTTGTCTTTGTCCACCGGAGTTCTCCCATGCAGACGTCTTAAGGGCTGGAAGTCCAAGGCTTCTTTAGAACCCAAATCTCTTCTTTATTACCTTGGAATAGTTATCTTGGCAGCTAATGTAGGTGCCAGTACGTGTGATGGGAGGAAGGTAATCTGTAGGACGCGGTCATTCTGAATGCAAATTAAATACAAGGTACGAAGCTGATCTTAATGGAGATGTTGTAGTGATGTGTGTTAGAGAAAGCAGAGAACCAAATGGGATAGAGGGGAGCAGTGCCAGCACGTGTGATGGTGCCTTTGTGGGTTGAAATCCTGTTGCAGGAAGAATATGGGTCGGGCAATGTAGTGTTGATGGCCTGAACGGGCTGGTGACACGAGTGGGATGGCGCTGAGGTAGGTTGGGCTTGAGAATGTAGGAAGGTACGTAGTGTATTCCTTCAAGCTGGGCTTGAGAACGTGGGACTAACAGAAGCCTTGGTCTGGTGGTGTTAGTGTAATGGCGTTTGCTGAAGAAATAGGAATTTTGTCTTGTACAAGATTGCCGCTTGCAGCTGCTGACCAAAGAATCTCCAGCACCAGGAGCGACTCTAGATTTAATCCTGAACAGGAGATGGGACGTAAAACTTGGCTTAGGAAGGGAAAGGGTCTGGTTTGGTTTTTGTTTTGAGAACTTCTCTTTAATAATGGTTGTCACGTAGGCAAACAGAGGAGAGGGAAGAGGTGACGCAAGAAAATCTGTATCATAGAATGGTTTGGGTTGGAAGGGACCTTGAAGATCATCTAGTTCCACACCTGCTGTCATCGGTGTTTTATTAAAAGAAGTGCATTAAAATCATGAAACAAGGAAGATAACATAGCATGTTTGTAGGTGTCTGGGAGGTAACTAAGGTGATATTGCTGCTAGGCGGCAAATAATGCCAGCTGAGAGACACCTTAGAAGAATTTAAAAAATAAAACGAAAGTACTAGAGTAAAATATTGATTTTGGTTTTTTTTCTTTAGAAAAAGACTTTGACATAGAAGTGAAAGCTTATCCGAGTGAGGAAAATACGAAAGCACATAAACTCAGGGCAGTTAAGCATAGACCTACAAAAAGAAATAGCACAGAGGACTTGTGAAAGGAACCTACCCCCGGGCGTAAGCGGCTAACGCAGGTTCGCTCTGATGAGTCGGAAGCGAAGAGCCTCAGTGTGCGCTGGCGGTGCCAGGCAATGGCGGTGTGAAAGCACAGCTCAGGAAGATGAGCCGTTGCAAAACTGGGGGTTTTGTCGCTACTTGGTTCCAGAAAGTGTAGGGGAGCTCTTCTGGTTCTTTTCCAAAGAACCTTCCGCGGGTAAATCCCTGGTTTCTAAAAACCCAGCTCCGAGGTTTGCTCTGGGGAGCTCGCTCGGGCCTGAGCAAAGCGTGAGTCAGTAAATAGCGATGGCGGGAGAGCTCTTGGCAGCTTTCTGCAGGGGACTGCAGGGGCTGCCCTTTGTCCCTGAGGGCTCTGGGCCCGACTCGGTCCCGCCACGTCGCTGTACTCTCTTTGGTGTCCTGCCGGGTGATTGTTCCAGCCCTCCTAAGCTCTGTGTTCTGCCCTTCCCGGTTGGGTTAGGAGGAGCCTTTGGATGAAAGTTCAGTGAAGAAGATGATTCTCACCTTCGAGAAGAGATCTTACAAAAACCAGGAGCTGCGGATCAAGTTTCCTGACAACCCAGAGAAGTAAGATGATGCTCAGCCCCTCCCTGTTGCCCTTTTGTCCTTTGGTTTTAGGTTTCAGCTCTAAATCAATGTCTTGAACATACAGACCTTGTCAGCTACGTAAGGCTTGTGTAACAGCAGTCACTGCCGCTGGTTCTTCTGAATTGGGTTTGAAACTAACTTTAATTAAAACCGGCATTATTGAGACTCTGGTGGTGGCTGGGATATGGCCGTCAGCACAAAGAGAATAATTAGCCAGGGAGGGAGAAGGTCTAATTTATTGAATTCTCGCTGTTGTTAATATTATAGATTGTGAAACTTCAGCGCTAAAACTGGAGTTCTTGTTGTTTTGATTTTGGGAGTGCTCAAATTCAGTAAGGTTTGTTAGTCCTGGTTTGGGTATCGCAGCAAGTGGCTTGGCTCTCAAAAGCGAGGCTCAGAGCTCTCCCGACATCGGTGCCCTTGGCAGTCGGCATCGGAGGGCCACCGGCCCCGCTGCAGCGCTCTCGCTTCGCAGGGGCTCCTCCTCGGCCCTGTTTCCGAGTGGTGGGTGTTTGGGGTGAGCAGGAAGATTGAGATCCTGGATTGGTGGGTGTTGCTTCCCAAATAAATCAAGATTTCAAGCCAGACTGTGTCTGTGTTTCTGTCCACACCTGCACTTCTAGTGAGCTCTTCCTCCTTCCATGGAGTTTTGTTGTTCACATTAAATAGATTTCTTCCTGTGCTGGAGTGCCATTATTTTTTGTCCAGTTCTGTTCTTTCCCATAGCTAAATTCTTTTTATGAGCTTTGCTTCAGGCTAATACGGCCCACAGACTGCTGGGTGTAGCTGGGGAAGGTGTGTCGCTCTGGAGGAGTTATTTTGTATGCAGGCTTTTCTCGTGTAGCTACAACCTCTCGATTATTTTTATATTTTTTTTAGTTCTAGACCTGGGTTACAGAGTTGGAACAAATCTGCTTATTTACTGTGTGGAAATTAGGTAGCAGGAAGGCTTCTCCTACTACGTGATTAAACTTCCAGGGGCAGGCGGAGGCCCGGGCTGCCGCCAGGAGCTCTGGGCTCGGTGGCGTTGACGTGGCCGCAGAGGGTCAGGCGTGCCGGGGCCCTGTGCAGCTGGGCTGACAGTCTCACCCGGTGCCTGCCGGAGGGCGGGGGTCTCTGCTTTGAAAAGGGCTGCGCGTGGCACACGACTGATGTACTTCTCGCCTTCTGACTGGCTGTTCTTGTCTCGCCGCAGGTTCATGGAGTCCGAACTGGATTTAAATGACATCATCCAGGAAATGCACGTGATCGCGACGATGCCAGACCTGTATCACCTGCTGGTGGAGCTGAATGCCGTGCAGTCTCTCCTGGGGCTGCTGGGACACGACAACACAGATATCCTTCAGTTGTTAAAGCCGCTCTCATGGGAGAGGCTTTCTACAGACTTTTCTGTAATCTCTTACATCCTGCTTTCGCAGGCTCCTGGGTCTGTTCTGCTCTTCTTTCCCACCGCACTGAATTTATGTCTTTTTTTTTTTTTTTCCCCAAGTGAAAGCCTTCTTTGTTCAAGTAATATTGATTCAGGTTTCTTTCAGTGCTGTTATTCTCCTTTCTTGTTTTATGACCCTTTCATCTAGGTTTGAGTGGCTGCCTTAGAGTGTGAGCAGACGAACGATAGAGGAAAAGCTCAGGTGTGGGCTTAGCAACACACAGCCTAGAAGCGAGTGCAGGCTGGCTGGAGTAGCCCCCGTAAAAACGAAACAGATTTACCCCGTGTCGCTGAGAGCTGAGCTGTCACGCTTTCAGCTCTTTGCCGTGGACTGGCTCGCCACAGGGCCACGCCTTCGTCTGTAAACGGGATAAATTCTTCACGTGTCCATACCTTTAATTTGGTGTGCGCAGAGCTTGAGGTTGTGGGTGGCCCCTCTGGTCTGAAGATCTGAGGGCATCTCAGAGAGAGTTTTCTGTCTGTACTGGTAAAGATTTTGGTAGTTTTGAACAAAAATGCTGTCATCTTTTGAATATCCTGGTGCCTTGATGCTTTGCCATTAACTAATCAGTAGGACTATGCCTGGCTCGCCATTGTGCAGTCTTTAAAAGCAGAGCTCAGGCTGCGTCGCTTGTAAAATATTCTGCAGCAGATTGAGCTGAGAAGTTGTGACGCGATTTGAGAGCTTGTGTCTGTGCCCTGGCGAACATCAGTGGAGGGAGCAGGGAGGCCCGGTGGAAAGGACGCTGGACTTAGACTTGGGACTACAGCAGGCTTTTCTTTTTGCCTTTGTATTGGTTCGTGACCTTAGGGAAGTAATTTATTCTTTACTCCTTCTCTGTATGCGTCAAGTAGGTAATACCAGCTTTTTCTGAGGTGTTTTGAAATCCGCGACGTTAAGAGGGCTGTTGGTGCTAGATGCGGTGGTCCGATGCTCAGGTGTTGGTTTTCTCTTTCAGCACTTTTCCTGAGAGTACTAGGTGTTAAGAATTCGTAATTCATTCTTTCTAAGCGGGTGCAGTGATCAGGAGGTAAAAACAAAACATAAATATTTTATTGCACACCAGTTTCCATTAGAAAGCACTGCTTATGTGTTGGGGTGTTTTGACTTGTATCTGGCTGAACCTTGCTGTGGTGAACGCTGGGCCCTGCAAACCAGCAGCCGCCCCAGCTTCCCCTGTCTGCGATCTGTAATGGAAATTACTGTCAAGTACTCGTTTGGTAACAGTTTGCTGTTGTACGGTGGGAACGCCTACCGTGCATAACCAGTTTCATGGCTACCGTGGTTTCATTGCTTATTTTTTTGCCAGACACCGCAGGCTTTCTGTGTACTCCTCGTGCATGGCATTAAAAGCTTGTACTGAACGAATCATTCGCAGGGAAGGTACAAACTGGGGGGATTTTGGCTGGGATGGCAGAGCTGGTTCGTAGCAGGAGTGCCCAGGCATACAGCTTGCTTTGTCCTTTCAGCCACGAAGAGCTGTGTCCTGGGGTCACTGCTCCTGCCAGGGACCTGGCGGTGTTTCCACTGCGAACTCTTTTTAATTGGAGTGCAACTTGCCCGTCAGTGAGTTTACGGGTAGAAATGTGGCCTGTGAATTGCGGGTTTGGGAAAAGTGTATTTCTTGTTATGAAACTGCTGAAGTGTTTCCAGGTCCGTTGGAAGCAGGACACAGGCTGTGGTTACGCCTCTGCACTGCGCTGCTGCTGCGGACGTGCAGGATAGAACCACTGTTAAAGGGGAGCATCTAGCTGTAAAACTAAAGTGATACAGCTCAAGCTTTCTAATGACTTTTTGTTAAAACAAATGGAAAAAGATTTTTAAAATGAGCTCTTCAAGGAGAGAGCTAAACAAATGACTCTTCAGATGTGATTTAAATGCAGTGTCTTGAGGGACTAATGCAAGGAGGCAAAAGCAATGTCCAGGGGGAGCGAATAAACTGCTGAATGATTCATGCAGTTTTGCACGAAACATGTGAATGAAAGATGATCACTGAGATTTTATTAATGAAAGACGGGGAAGTTCAAGTGACGTTTTGCTTTTCTATCTCCTAAATTTTGTAGGACAACTGATACTCTCACGGGAAGCCCCAAGAGAAGCTCCCTAGACAGGAGTGCCCTGCAGGATGAACTCCTCTGACTGCTCAAGTTCTTTGCTGTGCGCTCTCAGAACGCTCTGGCTCAGTTGTCTCTATAGCTCCCAGCAGGCAGCAGTAGCCTGCTGTTAGCTGCTCCCTCGGCCTGCTCCTCCGTGGGTTGATCCGACCTAAACCCCGTACCCTCAGCCTTCCCTCCTACGTCATGTGCTAGCCCCCCCGGCCATCTCGGTGGTCCTCCACTCTCCTGAGTCCAGGGTGCCAAGGTTTCTCTCTTACTGGGAGAGCCCACAGCCGAACGGAATATTCTACGTGTCGCCCGTGAGCGCCGAGCAGCAAGAACCCTCTTGCTCTGCGGGTTCAGCTCTGGCTCGTGCAGGGCAGGCTGGCGCTAGGCTTCGTCACTGCGGCGGCGCGCTGCTGGCTCGCCCTCG